GCGATCTTATCTGAGACCCCAGTAGGAGCATCTGCCAGTGTGGAGCAGGTATTGAAGCGGGAAGCCCTGCAGGACATCATGCTGGAGCCCTTCCTCTTGCGGTAGAAGCAGCTGCTGAGGTGGAACCAGAACTTGTCGTGGAGGGAGGCGTAGATGAAGGGGTTGTAGCAGGCAGAGCTCATGGCAATCAGGTGGCAGGAGACCTGGATGACGTTGACGTACCTCTTGTCCAGGATGGTGAACTCCTCGTCGATGTCTCTGATGAAGTTCACCACCTGGAGGGGCAGCCAGCAGCCAGCAAAGCACACCACGGAGATGGTGAGCACCCGAAAGGTCTTCTGCTTCGTTCTGGTCCATTTCTGTTGGCAGGGGAAGGCAGCGCCCGGGACCTTCCTCCTCCGCAGGTGGTAGGTGATGGCACAGAAGGAGACCGACACCGCCAGCAGCGGGAGCACGTAGGACAGGAGGAGCATCAGGCACGAGTACAGCAGCCGCGCTCTCTCTTGGTGCGTCCAGAACTCCTCACAGATGATCATGTCGTGGCCGATGGTGTTGAGATCCAGGTAGTGCGTGTGCAGCGAGGTGGGAACGGAGGCCACGATGGAGAGCAACCAAATGCAGGCCACAAGGCAGACGCAGGACCTGTGGCTGATCCTCCTGCGGATGGGGTACGCCACCACCACGTAGCGGTCGATGGCGATGGCCGTGAGGGACAGCACGGACACGAAGACGGTGGCAGCCTGCATCAGGGTGACGAAGTAGCACATGAACACCCCGAAGAGCCATCCCCGTGCCTCGAAGGCGTAGGAGGCGGTGAGGGGGACGCAGGCCAGGCACATGATGAAGTCGGCCACCGCCAGGTTCCCGATGAGGAAGTTGGTGGTGCAGTGCAGCTTCTTGGTGAGGGCGATGAGGAGGATGAGGAAGAGGTTCCCGGTGCACGCCACCGCCACCAGCGTGGCATAGAGCGGGATGAAGAGCGGCTTCAGCTCCAGGAGGAGGTCCAGGCCGGTGAAGAGAGGGGCTGAGCCGTTCTGCCAGGAGGCGTTGGGCAGGCGGCTGTGAGCCATGGGGGTCTCCTGCTGCCAGCACTGCTCCTCCACACCTAGAAACCAGGGATGGGAGCGTCAGCCCTCTCCGGGGAGGGTCCTGCTCTGCTTGGGCTTGTGGGCAGAAGAACCTGTCCCCAGGGCCCGTCCAGGTCCTTCTGCCCAGCCCTGTACTGATGCACCAGCGGACTTACAAGATGTGGGACCTTTTAAGAGCAACGCTGCCCGCGGCACTCAGCGGAGCTTCCGTACGGTAAGCCGGGAATGCAGTGGTTAACCAGCAGGGCACGGAGCTGCCGGCTTGGGGCAGCTGGATGGGGATGCTTGGGTCGGGTCGGGATGCCCCCGGGAAGAACCCCTGGAGCTGTGTTCGCCTGAAGCAGAACAAAGGGACTCCTGCAGCATCTTTTGCCTTCCATCTCCCCCCTCACCTCCTCCACGCCGACCTGCCGGCAGAAGGATGCTCTCCATCCCTGTCCCCCCCAGTTCATCCCACCCGCTCCCTCCATCCCCGTTCCCCCCGGTTCATCCCGTCCCACCGCTGTTGTACCTGTCACTTGTTCCCCGGCTGGGTTCGGGGTTCCCCGCGGGGCTCCCTGCAGCCCAGACCCGCTCCCGGCAGCGCAGGCGGCTGATGCCGAGTGTGTTCCGGCAGCAAGCGCAAGGAGATGGAGAATCACCCCAGGACCCCCCCAGCAGCACCTGACCCGGCCCCCTGCGGCGAGGCAAAGCAGCTCTAATTAATGACTCCGTGTCATTAGCGGGGAGGGGTTAGAGAGGAGGGCTGTGCGCTCACCCGCCCGCCCGGGCTCGGTGCCTCCGAGAGCCGGGGCTGTCACCGGCAGCCGCTGGGGTTTGGAGGTTCTTTGTTCCCCCGCTCCCGGCTCTGAGCTCCCCCCCTGCGGGCACCGGACGTTCCCCGCGCAGCGCTCGGTCCTGCAGGGCCGGCCCAGCCCCACGGGGCGCGGCGGAGGTGGGGACCGCAGGCTCGGAGAGAAGGGGGGCGCTGGGGGAACGGGGCGGGCGGGCGCAGGGACCGCGCGGAGCTACCGGGCACCCGCAGCGGCCGCCCCGCCGGGGGTCCCAGCAGGGAGGGGATGAGGGCAGCCATGGGGTGAGGGCAGCCGTGAGGGGTGCTGGTGGCCGAGCTGTGGGGCAAGGGCAGAGTGGCCCAGCCCTGGGTTTCGATGAACACCCAGCCATGGGGTAAGCGCCAGCCCTCGGGGGCCCGTGGTGTGGGGCACAGGCATGGGGTACAGCCTGTTCCCAAAGCCAAGGGGCTGGCAGGGGGGGGACCCGTCACCATGGGGAGGGGTGATAAATGTGTCATTTTGCATGAAAAACCATACACCCCCCCACGGCCGGGATTCCTGCCCCGCTTCCCACCCCGGGGAATTGAGCAGAATGGCCCCAAACACCAACGGGGCTGCAGGTTACTGAGCGTGAATCAGAAGACTCATTCCATGTGCAAGATCTTTTTGTCTTCTCGTTCCCAGCTCACTTAAATCAGGGGAACTCCAAACTCAGCATCACAGGCACTGTGGGAGTGAGAGCCATGGAAACTGTCAGGTCAGCCCTAGAAGTTCGGCAGTTACCTTTGGTGAGCAAAGGCTGCTCGTTTGTCTCATGCTGGTGGATGCGGGTTGGGGTTATTGAAGCTGCTGGGAGCTCACCCCTGCCAAAGCATCAGCAGGAAGAAAATCACCTTTGTCTCCATCTCACAGCCTGGCTGAGAGCTGCTCTGGGTTTTAAAGAGGAGAACAATCAGACAAGGGAAGCAGAAGGCTCTTAAAAGACCATTTGAGATGGGAGATAGACCTGAACATGACAGCAGAGTAATGAGTCGCTGCCACAGGGCACGTCCACCCCACATCCAGCTGCACCATGGCCAGGACAACCAGACAGCAGCACTGGGAGCATCTCCCTCTGCACGTGTTATCCTGGAAAAGCCTTTTCTGACCTATCTTTGCTGCTTCCAGCCTCTGTGGGTAAGTAACTGTTACCCCCAAAGCTCATCTTGCCCCACACAAGGGATGGGTTTGAAAGCTGTGACCCACCTGGTCCATGAGCTTGATGATTGGGATTTTACTGGAAGTCCCTGGATCGGGTGGAAACAGCCAGTGCCTGTTCTCCCTGTGCAGTGACAGGCCTGGCCCCCTGCCACACAGAGGGAAAAGGGCTGGTATCTCTGCTGTGCTTGTATGGCTCCTCCTGCTCAGAGGAGCAGGTATATGGGACAAACCAAGGTACATGGAGCAGATGAGCTTCTCTCCTGTCCCTTGCACAGTCAGGTAGGTGTAACCAGCAGCAAAGGCCCTGTGTGTGTCTATCAATGCAAGTTCAAAGCCCTCAGCTCTTTCTGTATCGTTGTAATTCTTTCCCAGACCCTTTCCTCGTACTTCTGAGCTATTTCTAAAGGGGAAATAGTGAGAGCTACTCTCTGAGGTCCCTTCTCTAGAGGAAATGTTGGGTTATAGGCCCAGAACTGTGTTTCAGTACAGGTGTTTTGAATACATTTCTCATCTCACTTTAATGGGAATAGGCAAAATAACACAAAGCATCTTCACAGTCACTGCTGATGACAAGAACTAAGGAACAGCCTAGGTGCAGACAGAGGCTGCACCCTCTTCTCCTTGTACCAGCCACTGCTGGTGGATGCTCCAAGGCATCTTTGTTCCAGGCTGACCTCAGAGGGGAGAGGTGCTCGCAGCACTGTATCTACAGGAAAGCTGCCTTAATTCTAGAGCTGAAGTAAAAGATGACGAAACCCACCCTCCGACAGGACACGAGACTTGCAAGTCTTGTGTCCCTGATGTTTGGGTGAGTCACCGTTCTCATGTGTTAAAGCCAAGTGTTTGTTCTGACAGAGGATGATGAGCACGACTCCTGCACAGCAGTCACGGGGCTGAAGAAGAACCAGCAGCGCAGCAGCTGCCAGTGAGCGAGGGAACATTGGATGGAGGCCGGAGCCGAGGCAGGGCTGCCAGGAAGCTGCTCTTAAACAGGTATTGTCACCAAGAAACGGCAGGAACATGGTGCGAATCCAACTGTGTGACACCAGAACTGCCCCTCCAACCGCCGAGGTAGGACCTCCGGCTGCAGAAGGGGTGTGCTGCTTCCCTCTACCGACCCTCGGTGTTAGTGCGGGACAGAAAGCCAGGGTTAGGGAAGAACGGGTCTCACACATGTACGTGATTAGAGAGTCTTGGATTAGCAGCGGACAGTGATACCCTGCGGGTTTAAACAGGATGAAACCCAATGAAATAGAAGAATATATTTAAAGACAGGTAATTCTACACAAGTCTGTGATGCAAACAAGGTATTGGCAGCTTCCCTGGTTATCACTTGTGGTTTCTTAATACTGAATCTCACCTGACCCTCTTTTGGAGAGGCTGAAAGAGGTAAAGAACAGGTACAAAACAATCAACAAGAGAAAAAACCCACCCCCCTTCCAATCTGTTCTGCAATACGGAGCTTGGCTGGTAAAAGGGGATGGGGTAGGTGGGGGTTTACATAGAGAGGAATGTTCAACGGGCACAACGTCGATGACACTTTCAATGCAACAATGTCGATGACACTTTCAATGCAACAATGTCGATGACACTTTCAATGCAACAATGTCGATGACAATTTCAGTGCAACAATGTCGATGACACTTTCAATGCAACAATGTCGATGACACTTTCAATGCAACAATGTCGATGACACTTTCAATGCAACAATGTCGATGACAATTTCAGTGCAACAATGTCGATGACACTTTCAATGCAACAATGTCGATAACACTTTCAATGCAACAATAGCTTTCTCTAGGGTTCCAAATTTGTGTAGGTGAAAAGTATCTTGTCTTCCTCCAGGCACAGCTCCAGGCCAATTGAGGCTTAAAGAGTGAAGATCTATGGGAAGCACCACAATGGACTTACAGGGAAGGAAACACAATGCCCAACTGAGTAATTTAAAAGGTACAAGACAAAACAGCTCAGTGGCTTGAGCTATTCTGTTCTGGACCATTATGTTTTCCTATACTTCTGAACAACTGCTTTGCTTTTGTTTAATATTATCTCCTGGTGAATCACAAACAATTCAGACTGGAATGATTCGACTGCTGCAAGCTGGGAGAAGATCAGAGTAAGAAAGAGTTCAGTTCTGTGTACACTGTGGCACAGGCCTCCCACTCCTGTCCATAACAAGGGGCGGTCACTACCTCTGCAGGTCCAGAGTTGGGGTTTGTGTGCTGGGGTTATTTAAATGACTGATAAATGGCACTTTTCCCCCTTCTCCTGTTACCACTACCACTGGGTACAACTTCACCGGGGCAGAGCAGGAGCTCTGTGTGTGGCTGGTGTGTATCTCACTGCTCTGCAGATGGAGGGTCCTCCTCACTCTCCTGCTTCTCCGGCTGCGGCTCTGGAGGGATGAGGTACTGCACCTCCTCCGTGTTGATCGCCACTTTATCAGGCTGCAGCCATCGCTTCAGATGTTCCAGTGTGCTGAGGGGAAGCAAAGGTGCAACGTGAGATGGGAGAGCAACAACACCCCCCAGGCATGTACAACAAGGTGTCGGGAACATCCTGTGCATTTCTTCTGTAGGTATACCTGTCACCACAGCTAAGGCCTGTTGTGACAGATCCATGTGCCAGAGGAGCAAGCAGAACCTTTCTTCCTACAAGGGCATTCTGCTGCAGTTGGGCTTTTTAAACTACAGTTAGAAATGTTTTAGACTGATTTTTCTTTATTAGAAGAATCCTCAGTGGGTACCTCAGCCTGCCCACTCCTGAAGTACCAGTCTGTAGGCAAGACTAGAGCTCGATTTCCAGCTTTCTGGCCTGGAAGTAAAAACCTTTTTTGGAAGTGTTAAAGCAAACTCCACAACTGCCTATTTGTGATGAAGATTAGGAAATGGACAGGGGGAGAACAAAACCAAAGCAGGAAGCACATATAAAAATGTGTGACCATTAGTAGCACTGCAAGATTAGAGAAGAAAGAGGCAGCATGTGTACATTGTAGACTGGTAACCAAATGATGGATTATAGAATCATAGAATAGTTCGGGTTGGAAAGGACCTTAAGATCATCCAGTTCCAACCCCACTGCCATGGGCAGGGACACCTCACACTAAACCATGGCACCCAAGGCTCTGTCCAACCTGGCCTTGAACACTGCCAGGGATGGAGCATTCACAACCTCCCTGGGCACCCATTCCAGTGCCTCAGCACCCTCACAGGAAAGAACTTCTTCCTTAGAGCCAATCTAAACTTCCCCTGTTTCAGTTTTAACCCATTACCCCTTGTCCTGTCACTGCAGTCCCCAGTGAAGAGTACCTCCCCAGCATCCCTATAGGCCCCCTTCAGATACTGGAAGGCTGCTATGGGGTCTCCACGCAGCCTTCTCTTCTCCAGGCTGAACAGCCCCAACTTTCTCAGCCTATCTCCATACAGGAGCTGCTCCAGCCCCTGAGCATCCTCGTGGCCTCCTCTGGACTTGTTCCAACAGTTCCATGTCCTTTTTATGTTGCGGACACCAGAACTGCACACAATGCTCCAGGGGAGGTCTCACAAGAGCAGAGCAGAGGGGCAGGATCACCTCCTTTGACCTGCTGGTCACGCTCCTTTGGATGCAGCCCAGATTATATTTTATATAATACATACCAGTATCTTTACTGTCTTACAGCCTATCACATAATAACTGGTCCAACCAGAACAGATCCACCCCATATTTGATTTAATGTGGCTATAACCCCAAAAGTTTAATGTTATCACTCTTAAATGTACATGTTTGTGTGTATCCTTGTCTTCTAGAAGTGTGATCCAAGCGCTGCCACAGCAAAATGAACTTGCTCTTGCTCTGTCACAAGACCAGGATTTCACCAGCTAATGAAGTTATCTGCGTGTTCAAAAGTGAAGGTCTGCTTATAATTATGTTAATGGGAGAGAATCAAACACTTTGGCATTGGGAGTGACCTCTATCTTCAGCGTCAAATGCTAGGGAAGAAAATCCTTTCACCAATAACATCCCCAGCCTTTAAAAACAGTAGAAAGCCTTTAAAAATAGTAGCAAGTCTACAAAAGCTTGGGTTTAAATATAAATGACGCTGAAGTTAACTGGTCAAAGAAAGAATCTAAAACCTCCTGAATTATTTTTCATACTTAGAACTCCCAAACAGCTTAAGTAGATTTTCTTCAAGAGAGGAAAACAATCCCTTTTCTAGTAGAAGCAATCATGACAAATGCCAGCTCAGAAAGGAGGAATATGGAGACTGTTAGAAGTGACTGGGAATGTGAGATTGCTCAAAGAGCGAGCTCTCATCTTAACTCAGGTGTCATCTGTAAAAGGGTAATGGGTGAGAGCAGAGGCACTGTAAGAGGGGCACAGAAAGGAGGGCTGCTGGAGAAATCTCATCTCAGGACTGGTACTAACCATGTAATGAACTTCACACCCGATTGGTGTCTGAACCAGTGCTTCACTGTGCCTTACAGAGGTGAAGAGAAGGGCCTGGGGCTCACTTTTAAAGGTAAACCTTATAGAAAGTGGTCTGAGATACATTGGTCATCTCCTCCTCTACTCCTTCCCTACCCTAAATGTGACAAGAGGAATGACCAAGTAGGTTACAGTTGTTTCTATGCTGGATCATCTCAGTCTGAGGGATGCAAAAACCAGTGAGCAGCACTGGAAGTTCCAACCCTGTATGCTCTGGGTGTTCCCCCCTAGGATGATGGAAAAGGCAACTATCAGACTGGCTCGGAAATCCCATACAGTGACATGTTCTTTTGTCATAAGTCCTGACTAAACCTTAGATTAGGTTTTAAGAACCCAAGCCTGCTGCCCACATGGTGAGTGGTTATCCCTTCCCAAGTCCTTGCTCATTACCTCTCATCAGAGTCGTGTCCCTCTACATAGAATTCCGACTCAAACTTCTCCTGCAGGAACCTGTCCCAGCATTCCTTCTTAGCCTGGGAGAGAGTGCGCAGCATGTCCTTAGAGGTCACCTCCTGAGACAAGCCTTTGATTCTCATCAGTCTTCGCTCTGTGAGGAAGCAAAGGAGGGGCCTTTGTTATCCTGGTTTGGTGAAAGGGAAGAAAAGAAGTATCTGGACTTCTGGATCAAAGAGTTAAACTAACTTTTCAAGCCCAAGCCCTATTTCAAGTCATTTTCCCTCCTGCATTTCAAGTCTGTGTGACTGTTTCTTGTGTGCATACAGGATGGTATTTTTAGGTGATGTTTCTAAAGGAAATAAACATTATGCAACCAATGAGCTCTGCCCATTTGCGAGCTTTAGTAACTTTCCCACTTACTGCTCAGTTTCTATGAAATCACACAGGGGCTACAGATCATAGAATCCCAGCCTGGTTTGAGCTCGAAGGGACCTTAAAGCACATCTAGTTCCAACCCCTACCATAGGCAGAGACACCTTCCACTAGAGCAGCTTGCTCCAAGCCCCCTCCAACCTGGCCTTGAGCACTGCCAGGGGTGGGGTGTCTCACAGGCATTAAGGTCCCACAGTTTCCACACAAATTGGCATGAAATCACACTAATTACACTGCGAATCCAAATAATGCCCAAACACAAGTTAAAAAATGCGTGTGCAGCAGTATTATTAGTGGGTATCTCACAGCAGAATGTGGTGTTGGGAGCTTCCCAGCCACAGGGGATGATGAAAAGTGCCTCCTGACCTGACACAGGGTAACCCAGCTACAATACACAAAGCCACAAGAAAGTAAATGTCATTAATTCCCCTGGTCACAAATTCTCATTATAATAGTTTCCTCTCTGAATCAGGTCAGGTATTGACTTGTAATCCCACTCCTTACTGAAAAGTGTAGCATCGTTAGTTGAACTGGGCTAGTTCACCTGTCCATGGCTCCCTGTTAAGCTCCCTGGAGTTGTCTTGTGGGACAGAAATGAGCTGTTACCGAAAGGCCCTGGCCCTGGCAGTTCAGATGTGAATTATCTGCCCAAGCACCCAGCCAGAGCTGTAGAGGAGCCAGCATTTCACAACCATTAACCCTGGGCAGGTACAAACACAGAACTGGGTTATTTCTACTGACTTAGCCAGAATATCCAAGAGGAACAAGAGCTAAACACTGCAGCACTCGCTGTGCTGGCATGTCTGCACCAGAATACCTGTATCATCCCTCACATCAAGTGTTTCTATCAGTTGTTACACTGCTCACAGTCAATCTATGGCTTTATAGATAAGCAGGAATTACAAGAAGCAATTGTGCAAAGATGGTCTGTGTGATCTGCCCTCTTAACAGCCAGCTCCCAGCAGGCATGGTTTGGGAAGGCAGTTTTCCCCCTTCTTGCCCACCCAGATGCTGCAACACATCTCACAGCTGTGAGACCTATCACCTCAGCCATTTAATAAGGCCATAGCTGTCACCGGGCACCCAAGCAAACAGAGAACTCAAAGCCTTACCAAAGACACTCACCTAGGGATGCCAGATACACCTCTGAATCCTGCAAGGGTGCCCAGGGCCTCGGGTTCGTTTGGGAAGAGCCATTGGATCCGCTGCCCTGGCTGCCTCCGTTGGGGTAGGAATCCATGAAGGAGTCTGTGAAAGCCTCGCTGGCATCCTTCGGCTCGGGATGGGGCAAGCATGAGCAGATCTCAGCCCAGAGGTCTTCACCCGACCTGGCGACCACGGAGTCAACGCTCTCGATCATCCTCATCGTGAAGGCCTGAGTCGAAGGGAATAAATCATGAACGCCCAGCAGCATCCCCTCACTTCAACCCCGCCTCCCTGTATCTACCCGCACCGCCCAAATCACACCACCAGACCCCTCGGGGACCTCCGATGCCACCGGGGACGCGGGGCCTCCCTCCACACAGCGGTGACAAGCTCCGGTGTGTTGCATTTAAGCCCGGGGCCTGAGGGACGCCGCAGGCCGCACCGCCGCCGCCACGGCACCCCGCTGCCGCCTCCCCCGGAGGCCCCTGCTCCCTGCGGACCGCTCGTGGGGCTGCCCCGGCCCCTCCTGCTGGGACACAGAGCGGACACGGAGGGGCCGCTCCCGCTATCGCCCCAGTCCCGGTCCCCGAACCCGCCTCGGTCGCTGTCACCCGCCCGCACCGCAACAGGGGTAAGCGGCAACGGCTTCGCACCGCGCGTTGATTGGCGTCCAGCTCTGGCCAATCGCCACGCTCCGCCGGCCCCAAGAGGCCGCCTATTCGCCAGCGAAGCAGCGAGGGGCGGGGGATTGGTGGGATGTGTGAGGGAGAGTGAAGCCGAGCGGCGCCATCTTGGTTAAGGGCGGAAGTGTTTCTGTATGGGGCGGGCGGGTTCAGCGGGGCCTGGCGCGGCTGCGTGGTGAGTACCGGGGCCGGTTCGTGGGGGGCGGCTGCGAGCGCGGGGTCTGGCGCGGAGGGGCCGGCCCTTGGTCTGTTCCGGACCCGCGGCCGTGCCTCTGGGAGCCGCCTTCCCGGTGCTGCCGAGCCGGGCAGAAGCCGGGGGTGGGAAGGGGTCTTGGGGCTCCGGCGCTCCTGTTGCGCTCCCGCCACCGGCATCTTAGTCCTCTCCGGCTCTGGCCACCCCGTCCCTGTACCCTCCTCCGGGCGCTCGCCCGTGTTACCGGGAGCCGGACCTGGGGGGCTTCGGCGTTGTGAATGTGGGGCCGGTTGCGCCTCACAGCCCTTGGCGGAGGCGGCGCAACCGGTTCTGGGGCTGACCCGCAGTAACGGGCCGGCTGTGGTGTGTCTCGGTCGGTGCACGGAGCTCCGGCTGCGCTGCGGTGCGGGGCGGTTCCGGTGCGTTGCAGCTCCCTGTCTCCTCAGGCCTCTCGGTCTCCGTGGGATGCGCTGCCGGCCGCCCCGCGCCGCGCTTGCGCTCATGGGGCTGCTCTTCGCCAGGACGATGGCCTGGACGTCCAGCGGGAAGACGCACCCCGAGCTCGTCAACAACCTCTACAGTGAGTAAGGAGCGGGGTCCCGCCGGCAGCGCGGCCGGTGGGGTCAGGCAGGGCTCCGGTGTGAGGGTGCGCGGTGCTCCGCAGGGTGCGCTGCACAGCCTGGAGTGTGGTGGGGTGTTGGGATCAGTGCCGGGATCAGTGCTTGCCCCGTCCGTTTGTGATGGGAAACGAGGTGTTGTGCCAGGAGTTTGCACCCGGGGGACCTGGGCAGGATGGAGAGGTGGGGCTGTGCAAACCTCCTGAAGTTCAAGCTCAAAGTCCTGCCCCTGGGTCAGGGCAATCCTGCAACAAACACAGGCTGGGGGAGATGGCATGGAGCAGCCTGAGGAAAAGGACTTGGGGTGCTGGGGGAGGAAAAGCTTTCTGTGACCCTGGCATTTCCCTGCTGCCTGAAGTGGCCATTTTCCCCCCGGGAGTCCCCTCGGGATGAGGTGTGCAGGGCTGGTGACGGTTTCCTCAGTCATGGCTCTTAACAGTAGTTTGCTCCTGGAAACCTGAACCAGGGTCTCCGCTTTCAGCAGTGCAGGTGGGAGTCTGTATGTGTCTGGTTACACTGCGCAGTCCCAGAGCCCAGGAGTGCTGGGGGTGTAAGTCACCGTACCGCTTTCCTTCTTCTCCCAGAAAAAGGGATAATTAAATCCCAGCGAGTCTTCGATGTGCTGCTGGCTACTGACAGAGGTCACTACATCAAGTATTACCCATACATGGATTCTCCTCAATCTATTGGTGAGTAACTTGGGGCAGAGTTACAGTGTGCGTCACCCTGGCTGTGCCTGGTCACCCCAAGTTCTGCATGGAGGTGACCTGGAGCACATGGGGGCGCAGTGCTGTGCAGCCATCTCATGCCCCTTAGTTTTTCCAGAGGAGGTTTAAAGTCGATGAAGTGCTTTCACACAGCAAAAGAGACGAGTAGTTTTCTATTGTCAAGGGAAAGGGGGGGGGGGGGAGAATAAAGGTGATTTGATTTAATTTAATCATAATTTCTTCATCACATACTTTTGTCACTGGTTTCCTTTCAGGATACAAGGCTACAATCAGTGCACCTCACATGGTAAGATGGAACTTTTCACTTCTAACCAAAATGGGGGAAATTGGTTGTTTGCCATTTCTCCTTTTATTTTTTCTTAAACACTCAAGTAGAAGCAGATCCCATGGATGTGGTTATCATGGTTGTTTCTTTAAGCACTGTACATGTGAAGCTTTTTCTTTCTTGAGTTTGCCCCATGCTCTTTAAATTGCTTTAACTATACATCTGATAGGAATTCAGTGCAACTGAGCCTAACCACTGATGGTGCCCATTTTTTGCACAAGGTCTCTTTTCCTGCTGCTTTTTCCCTCTTGCTTTCCTTCCGCATCTTATTCCTGGGCCTCTTCCTAAATGCTGATTTGCAAATGGATCTTTCCAATGAAACACTTGACGTTCACTCTGTCAGACACGATGCTGGGTGTGCTGTGTTTAAACTGGAGAAGAACAAGGGAAAGCTTTAGGGGATGAAACCCAAGTGGGCTGTCTCCTTCCTTCCCACACTTGTCATCCATGCAGCATGCCCATGCACTGGAGCTGCTGAAGGATCAGCTCGTGGAAGGCGCAAAAGCTCTGGATGTTGGGTCTGGAAGTGGATACCTCACAGCCTGCTTTGCCAGGATGGTAAGTTCCCTGGCTCGGTTTTTGGGATGGCAGCTTGGCATAGCTGGCCCATGCTTTCTGTGGGGAGAGGAGGAGGTGGGAGGAAGGGGTAGACTTAGAATCCCAGGCTGGATTGAAGCGACCTTAAAGCTCATCGAGTTCCAACCCCTGCCATGGGCAGGGACCCCTTCCACCAGAGCAGCTTGCTCCAAGCCCCTGTGTCCAACCTGGCCTTGAGCACTGCCAGGGATGGGGCAGCCACAGTTTCTCTGGGCACCCTGTGCCAGTGCCTCAGCACCCTCACAGGGAAGAACTTTCTCCTTGTAGCTAACCTGAACTTCCCCTGTTTCAATTTAAAGCCATTCCCCTTATCTTGTTACTACAGTCCCCAGACCAGCAGGTAGTAAAACTGAAGACTGTCATTTTTGTAATCTTAATGGATAGGGTATCTGTTGTGAGATGTTTTGTATGTTAACCCAGTTCAGATGGAGAGGGGGTGTTAATCTACTGAATAAATTCACTGCAGGTAGTGTTTAGTTCACTCTGAAGTAGTCACACTCTGCTTCTTTGTCTGCTAAGCCCCTCAAGTGACTTTCTGTGCAGTGTCAGAAAGCTGGAGGAGTACCTGTTCTCAGAAGGTTGGTTAATGAAGAACTGGCCCTGCCATGAAAGCTGCTACTCCTATGGAATAATCACTTGGAAGTCACTTCACTTGGAAGTGAAGGACTGCTAGATATCTCCATAGGGAGAGTCTGTGTATCGCTCAAATAGCTACTATAACTGGGATTATTCCACCTTAAAACCAAGGAGCAGAGTGTTTGAATCTCCTGTTCAGAAACTGCTCTCAAGCTTCCTCCTGGGATTTCTCCAACCCCCCTGTAACTTGCCCTGTAAAATACATCTCTGCCATACAGGAGGCATTAGGTTTTTGTCTGCTCTTCCTCTTCGCAGATAGGCCCAACAGGCAAAGCTGTGGGCATTGAGCACATTCAAGAGCTGGTACATGAATCCATCAGGAATGTCCAGGAGGATGATCCGACTTTGCTCAGCTCTGGCCGTGTAAAGCTTGTGGGTGAGCTCCCTGCTTCTCTCCCTGAGTGCACTCAGCCTGCCTGCAGAGTTTGTCCAGTTTGTGTTGTGCTCACCACGGTGTTGACAGAAAGTGCTGGCTAAGTAAGCACCGTGCCCTGTGGACCTGAACACTGTGGTGTAAATGAGTAGTATTCAATGTTACAGGTAGTCTTACCCCTTCATTCTAAGTGTGTGGTGACTGTCTTGATTTAGGAAGAGATGCTCTTCAGAAGAGAGTAGCTCTACCACGTCTGGGTTTTAGTCTATCTGAATGGGTCCCCGTGTTCTGTTGTGGGTTTTTCTGGGGTAACTTAAGTCAGCTTCTCCTGTATCTAGAATCTCAAGCTTGCACAAAGCCCCTGGGTTACTAAAAGACCCTCCTGGCTTTGACTGTCCCTTATTCGAGCATGGCTCACTTCTAGAAATCTCTTTCCTGTTTAAACCAACACTGTATTTTAAGCAGACAGGTCAGTGCTCTGATTTGGGAATTCAAATTGCCATCACAACCTCTTTATGACGTTTCCCTCATGAGATTTCAGCTGAAAGGACAGAGGAAGGATTACTTCTGCAAACGTCTTTCCTGCTTGCTTTTCCCTCCTGCAGTTGGCGATGGCAGGCAGGGATACCCCGAAGAAGCTCCTTATGATGCCATTCATGTTGGAGCAGCAGCTGCCACTGTACCAAAGGAGGTAGGATTGATGCTTGTGTTTCTTGCTGTGGGCTGCTTCCATCAGCATCAGCTGTGGAAAACAGAGTAATTGGGAACTACTGGATGTTTTTCTGTGCACTTGCTATGGAGCTGGCAGTATTGCACCTTTCAGGGTGCCCACCTCCACAGCGTGGCTGGTTCCTGTTGTGTGTGCCTGGCTTTGGCTCTGCTGATTGTGATTTCTCTGCTTGCAGTTGCTGAATGAGCTGAAGCCAGGCGGGCGGTTAATATTGCCCATTGGTCCCGAGGGGGCAAACCAAGTTCTGATGCAGTACGACAAGACCAGCGACGGGCAGATCATCGAAACGCAGTTGATGGGGGTGATCTACGTCCCTCTCACAGATAAGGAAAAGCAGTGGCCTCGGTAAAGATTTGCTCTCCTTTGAGGACCGTTTCTTCCCTCCTGTGAGCTTGCTCTCCTTGGCTGCTGGCTTTACTGACAGTCCTGGATCCCTAGCAGGTGCTGCTTGTAGAAAAGGAAAGGAAGAGGCTTGGTACAGCAGGAGAGTGGGGTGTATTTTCTGTTAGATGGGGCTTGCAGACTGCGGACTCGAGCTTCCCTTACTTCTGCTTTCTGGAGCCTCAACTCCACGTCCGTGTTGATCCTTAACCCAAGGCCACCATGAGTAACCGCTGGTTTTTCTTTGCCTCAGGGATGAATTCTGACAGCCGGATGGATATCTCTGACGTGACCTCAGAGCTCACGAGCGGCACCCGGGCCTGTGGGTGCTCGAGGTGGTTTTGCTTTCGGAACAAAGCGGGGTCAGTGGAGGTGCTTGTGGAGGCAGGTTCTCAGGGGCGGAGGGAAGGGGTTCTCCAGCGGCAGGACCAAGGGAGGCCCTCGGGGGCTGTCTGCTTCCAGCAGTGCATCGGATAACTCGGCTCTCCTCCCTGATAAGCTGTAAATAACATCTGCTCCCAGGGAATTCCGAATGCAGAAGAGAATACTTAAACCTGCACTAAAAACACTGTTTAATATTAGCTACTCTGCCTAATGCTTGAAGAAAACAAGGCATTATTACTGCTTCAGAGCAGCGACATACCCTGACTTGTCCGAGTTTAATGAGTTGTCAACGTTTAATCATGATTTGTCAAAGGTTAATTACAAGAGTGTGTTCTCACCCCTGTCCTGCCTAAAGCCATTTCAGCTGTGGTCACAACACTGGTGATTTGGGGTTAAGCAAAAGCCCGCTCTCCTGGTTTTTCCCTCTCCTCCCGCGGACCGGCGGCGGGGCTGCGATGTGCCCTGGGGCCGGTCCTGGGCCGCTCACCGAGGGCTCCAGGCGGGGCTGCCCCGGTGAACGAGCGCGGTCCCGCCCGGGCCCCGCCTGAGGTAACGGGAAAGGCGGGAAGGGATGAAGCGACCAAGGGCCACCGCAGCGGGGCGTGGCCTGGCGGCGATTGGCTGCGCTGCCAGGTGCGTCACGGCGTGCGCCGCGCGTCATGCGGCGTGCCCTCGTGGTGTGGGCAGCGCGGTTGGGGCCGGTGGCGCGGTGCGGAGCTGTTTCGCCGTTCCCTCCGCACGGCACCGGCATGGCGGAACCGGAACCGGGCCCCGGCCAGGAGCAGCAGCCGAGCCCCGCGGGCAAGGAGGAAGCGGCGCCGGCCCCTAAGAAGCGGCGGCTGGCGGCCGGGGAGCGGTACGTGCCGCCGCCGCGGAAGCTGAGCACGGGGGTGAGCTTCAGCGCCGCGCACTTCGCTGAGACCTCTTACTACTTCGAGGGGGGGCTGCGCAAGGTGCGGCCCTACTACTTCGACTTCTGCACCTACTGCAAGGGCCGCTGGGTGGGCCGCAGCCTCCTGCACGTCTTCAGCACCGAGTTCCGCGCTCAGCCCCTCGCCTACTACCGCGCCGCCGCCCGCGCCGGCCGCCTGCGCCTCAACGAGGAGCCCGTGCGGGACCTGGACGTTGTGCTCAAGGTGGGCACCCCCGTTTGGTGTTGGAGGTAACCCCCCCCCCCCGCCCTTGGGGCTGGGGCACCCCCCGGAGGCATCCCGGGGGTGAGCGTGGTCTGCCTGGCAATGAGCATCGCCCCAAGCAGAGCTGTGGAATAACCCCACGGTGGTGCTGAGTGCTAAGGTGTTTTGGGGGAATCGGGTCTCCCAGGGAATCCCTACCCCAGTGGGGTCATGAGCAAGCTGTCCAGTGGTGCCCCACGGCTCCCTGCTCAGACCCACAGGCACAGACCTAATGCTTAGGGTGGGTTATTGAACTCCGGTAGCGATGAGCACAATTGTGGTGCCAAGTTCTGTGGTTCAGGACAAAGGGGCTTTCGTTCTCCCCACCATAGCGAGCCCCTATTGCATGTGGCCAGCTGGAATGGCTGTACCAGCTGCATTGACACTAATTGCCCCTCTGTTCTACAGAATAACGACTTCCTCAGGAATACCGTCCATCGCCATGAGCCACCGGTCACTGCCCAGCCCATCCACATCCTGGCTGAGGACCAGGAGGTGGTGGTTGTGGACAAACCCTCCTCCCTGCCGGTACACCCCTGCGGCAGGTTCCGTCACAACACGGTCATCTTCATCCTGGGCAAGGAGCACGGGCTGCAGGAGTTGCACACCATCCACCGCCTGGACCGCATGACCTCGGGAGTGCTCATGTTTGCCAAGACTGTGGAGGTGTCCAAGAGGATTGATGAGCAGGTTCGGGAGAGGCAGGTGAGGACAAAAAGCTGTGGAAGATTTTGGGGTCTCCACACAGTATTTTCTCGAAAGAGGTTAGGTCCAAAGACATTTGGTCAAAACAAGCGCAAGTTCCCAGAAGAGCTTGTGGTCACGTTGCTGTTCTTATTGTGTTAAGCATGAGAAAAAGATGGAGCAAGAATCGATTTGAGTAGTATTAGGTTGAAAGGGATTTCCTTCCTGAGGGAATGTGCAGGGTCAGTACCCAAACAAATCCCCAGACTGACTGGGCTGGTGCAGAGCAGTTTGATTTGTAAGTGGGAGTGTGGCACTCACCCAACAGTTGTTCAATTTTAAATGTTTTGGAAGTTTTTCATTACTTTTCCAGTGGCTTCTGGCCCAAATAGAATTGTAACTGTACTGGCTCCCAGGATCTGCATCCAGGTTGTAAACTGATGGCCACAGGGAGATACTCTTGAATTTAATATGAGGAAAAACAGAATCAGGGAACGGGTTGTGTTGGAAGGGACCTTAAAGCTCCTCCAGCTCCAACCCCTGCCAGGGCAGGGACCCCTTCCACTGGAGCAGCTTGCTCCAAGCCCCTGTGTCCAACCTGCCCTTGAGCACTGCCAGGGATGGGGCAGCCACAGCTTCTCTGGGCACCCTGTGCCAGCGCCTCAGCACCCTCACAGGGAAGAGCTTCTGCCTAAGAGCTCAGCTCAGTCTCCCCTCGGGCAGGTTCAAGCCATTCCCCTTGGCCTGGCCCTACAGGCCCTTGTCCCAAGCCCCTCGCCAGGTTTCTTATAGCCCCTTTAGGCACCCGTGCTGCTCTAAAGTCTCCCCTTCACATAGCAGAAGGGGAGAATCCTTTCCCTGGACCTCCTACCCATGCTGTGGGGATGCAGCCCAGCACACAGGGGGGTCAGTAGACCAGGCCCTTGTGTTGTTTGTTTCCCAACTGGTTGTGGAAAGTGAGAGGGATTTTGGCTTTAAATAACTGATTTTTTTTTTTCCCTTTCCTGTTGAATTGTAATAAAATGTTGGCAATGTGCTGCCTACAAATGTGTTTCACTGAAGAGAAAGGGAGGAGCAGCTGGGGTGGGACTCGGGGGGCTTATTGGGGTAGAGGTGGTTCCTGTTCTGTGAGTTCCTCTGTGTCCCTGCAGCTCGAGAAGGAGTACGTTTGCCGTGTGGTGGGGGAGTTCCCAGAGCACGAAGTGGTCTGCGAGGAGCCCATCCTCGTGGTGTCTTACAAAGTGGGAGTGTGTCGTGTGGACCCCAAAGGGAAATTCTGCAAAACCATCTTCCAGAGGCTCAGCTACAATGGGAAGAGCAGCGTGGTCAAGTGTCTGCCCCACACTGGCCGCACGCACCAGATCCGGGTCCATCTGCAGTTCTTGGGGCACCCTATAGTCAATGACCCCATCTACAACATGGAAGCCTGGGGCCCTGACAGGGGCAAGGGCGGCAAGATAGATAAAACAGATGAAGAGCTCCTCAAAGCACTGGTAGAGGAGCATCGTTCCAAACAGAGCCTGGATATCTTGGGTATCATGGAGGAGGACTTGAACTCTGGTGCTGAAAGTAAAGACTGTGGTGATTCAAGTGACTGCACAAAGCCTGTGCAGGCTGATCCCAGCAGTGAGAATTCCTGCCCTGCTGAGGATGCTCAGGATGCCGGGAGGGATGCTCGGGATCCTGGGAGAAATGACACAGCAGGTTGTCCACTGAGCTCCGATGCCAACCTGGAAACACCTGAAAGTAAAGAACTGAATTCATGTGAAAATCAGGATGGGGAAGTGGGAGAAAAGGGTTCAGGAGAGAAGGACCCTTTGTGTGTGGAGTGTAAGATGATAAGGCGGGACCCATCTCCCAAGGAGCTGGTGATGTATCTACATGCCCTGCGCTACAAGGGTGTGGGGTTTGAGTACTGCTCCAGGATGCCCGAGTGGGCAGCGGAAGACTGGGAGGAATGAGTGAGGATGTGGGATCTCTATTGATGTTTCTAGCATGGAAAACATCTTGTAAAGACCTCAGATCTGCTTTCCCAGTGTTGGTTGAGGTGAACAAGCTGCTTGTGGCTTGAGGCAGGGTGGGAAGGGCTACTGGGGTGGAGAGCTGTCCTCATGCTGGAGAGGATGAGCAGAAGATGGAGCTACAACACACTTCTGGGTTTATGTTGCCTGTTGGTGAGCCAGCACTTCAGGGTAACACACACTGCTTGGCACAGGCAGCTTTGCCTTTCACCTCCACATAACCTGAGGCTGCTGCTGATCATCCACACGGATATTAGTGCATGCACTGAACATCAGCAGGGATTGTTCTTCTGGCCTCCTGTGTTCTTGTAGCTGACACCACGAGCTGTTGGGCTGTTGTTTGCTGTGCTGGATGTCATACACGACACTACTGATGCTGTATTTTATTGTCAGACCGATTGTGAAACTCAAACCTTATCACTGAGAACATCCTGAGCTAAAAGCAAAGCACTGTGAAGCTGATCCATCTGGTGCTGTTTGCCACCAAGGCGGAGTTGGCATTGGAATTGCTCTTTCTGTACCCTTTTAGATAATTACTCCAAGTTAACTCTAGAGATGGAGCTCTTTATATTTGGCCTGGTTTTGGAGGTGCTAATCCCCAGATTTGTCCTTAATAAGGAGACTGGTTAAGATGATTTTTGCCTTTCTGCTACCTCCCCTGTGACCTGTCTCCTGCATTCTCAAACATGTGGCTTCTCTTGAGAACTTGTCCCTCACTGCAAGCATACTTGAGCAGCAATCCAAAGCAGGGCTCATGCTGCCGACTTCTATTTATCCTGATTATGTTTTATTTTAAGGTACTACAGGCAGGAGGTGGGGAATTTTTAATGTCACTTCAATGTGACAGCTTTCAAGAAAAACAAAAGCTGGTTTATGAAGCAGAAGACTTTTTAATATACATTTTGTAATAATATGTGTCCAAGATGACAAATACCACTGTAGCTGTTACTTTCCTCAGTGTTTATATGGTTTCTTCTTGGCTTCTGGGGGATTATGATGATAATTCTGCTGTCTCAGGTGCTTTTGAATCTTTTTCCCCTCTTTTCCATGTGTCACTGGGGTGATACCAGCTCCAGTGGGTGCTGTAGACAATCAGAGCCTTTACTGTGTTGTTCCAGGACTGTGTGCAGGCTGATTGCTAGCCCCATCTCTCTGTATCCACCTCTCCACCTATACCTGGGGCGCAAGCGTCTTGTTCTATGCTTCTAAAATGTTAAAAGGAACCTCTTGAAAGGTGAAGAAAGGAATCCAGAGGAACTGATGCTGTTCAGCAATATTGCAGGTATAAACTGCAACGTGGCCCAGTCTTGGATGACCTTTGAAGTCCCCAGGATCAGGATTTGTGTACCAAACCAGAATAAACCCCTTCATACCTCTTCCAATAGCTCAAAGACACCAAGTGGTTTATTTGTCTCCTGGACCATCCAGCTGATGTG